ATAATAGTATTTTTCTAAATGTAATTTTATAAATGTTTATTTTTAGAATAGTATTTTTATAAGAGTATTTTTATAAACGTATTTTTTTATAATAGTAATTTTATCTAACAATAGTATTTTACTAAATGTAATTTTATAAATATGTTTATTTTTATATTAGCAAGTTCATAATATTATTTTTATAAATGTTTAATTTATGAATGTATTTCTATAATATTATTTATACAAATATTTAATTTATGAATATATTTTTATAATTATATTTTTATAATAGTTTCGATCGAACATAATTAAAAAAAAAAAAAAAAAAAAAAAAAGAAAAAGAAAGAAAAACAAATTAAAATTCCTCAACGTACTCACAAAATTCAAAGAAACGTGAGTTCTCTCAGGTAATCGACGATTTTATCGATGACGAATCCGAATGAAAAATAATATAACAATCATTCGATTAGAAATACCAAAAAAAAAACAAAACTTCCTTCTTTTTTTTTAAATTATTATTGTCAATTAAATTATTACTTTTATTTTTATAATAATTAACACATCTATTAACATTTCTTTTCACACATAGACACACACACACACTTGAATATTAACGAATGCACTAATCAATACGTTTAACCAATCGTCTTACGTTGAGAATAAAGATTGTCTACTTATATTAGTCGTTTTAATTAGTCCACACTCAACGATATATTGTCACTGATAATAAGTTTTAATAAACATAAACTCTCTCGTTAGAAACGTTATCGATATCAAAACCTTGGTTTTCTTATCTCACTCGCTGATTGTAAATGTCTCTTTCTCTAACAGATAAAGAATGTTTTCTGTCTTTTCGTATACCAGTAACAACAACCTAAGTGTAAAGAATTCAATCGTTTAGCACCTATTACTACTACTATTACTACTACTATTACTACTACAACAAACTAATAAAAGAAAAATAAGAGGAAAGAACAAAAAAATACGTAGGTGGTATCTCATTTTTTTTTTTTTTTATAATGCGTCATATGTGTAATTTAACGTTGAAAATGTGTATCTATGTATATATATGTATGTATTTGTGTATTTACATATACGTGCACATGTACGTGTACGAGTACGTGTGTATGTGTTTGTATGTTCGTTAATTTAACTTTAAAAATGTGTTTATGCATGTATGTATGTATGTGTATATTTACGTGTTAATGTACGTGCACGTACGTGTACCTGTACGTATGTGTGTTTATATACTTGTTAATTTAACATGAAAAATATGTATGCGTAGTATTTGTGTATTTACGTTTAAGTTTAAGTGGGTGTTAGTGTGTGTATGTGTGTTTATATATTTATATAGGTGTATTAACGCTTACCTGGATGACGTAGCTCGTACTTGTGTTTGTCTAAATTCTTCTCACGGCACACTTCGTTAAGAATTTCTCCTAGATTCATTTTCGGGCTGACTCTCGAAACGTACAATTGATTTCTTGGTAAGTGTACCTAAGTTAGAAAATTTTTCTATGAGATGTTTCTCATTCATTTTTTTTTTGTTTTTTTTTTTTAGTTTTTTTTTTGTTTTTTTTCTATGTTTTCTCAAAATTGTTCTGTTTTTTTTTATTACATTAATTAGGTAAATAAAATGTTTCTCAATCATTTTTTTTTTTTTTTTAAATTTCTTTTTCATTCTAATTTGGTTTTATTTTTATATGTCTTCTCAAAATTTTGCTTTCTTCTTTTGTTTTTTATTTAATTAATTATTGTTATTTATTAATAAATATTAATTAATAATATATTAATAAAAATATTAATAAACGATATTATTTTTTTAATATAATTATTATAATAATTAGCATATAATAAATATTAGTATAATAAATTATAATTATATTACTATATAATAAATAATTAATATAAAACAATGTTAATATATAATAATATATAATATATAATAATAATATGCTATATATTATATTATAATAAATAAAAATAAATATTATATTATTATATAAACAATATATATTATAAATATATAATAATATAATAATATATTTATAAAATAATATTATAACAACACAATTTATAATTATTATAAAATATTACAATTTATATTATTATAATAAATTTAATAATATAAATATGTAATTTTATTATAAAAAATTATATTAAATGATAAATTATTAAATATATATATATATATATAATAAAATTATAAAATAAAAAAATAATAGTTAAAAATTATAATAAATAATAAATATATAATAATAATATAATTATAATATTTTTAATAAATATAAATAAATTATATATGAATTTAATATTCATGTATATAAATTTACATTTTATTAAAAAAGAAAAATAATAAAAATTGTTTTTGTATCCAGATCCCAAAAATTTTTGTAATCAACTCAAGTATTATTTATTAATATTTTACATTCTTTTATTAATTTTTTTTTTTTTTTATATTGCAATTAACTATCTTTACATTGTGCGCATTATAAAATTTATTATTGCAATGAACAACAAAAAAACATTGACTAAACATAACCTAAGTAATTGTCGAACTAAAAAGAATAAACCCCCTCCCCCCACCACCTTCAAAAAAAAGTAAAAGTGTGACGAATATGTCATTTAAAAAAATCTCTTGTGTTTTTTTTTTGTTACCTGCAATCTGAACGTCGTTTCGAAAGGTTGATTCGCATGTTTCACCTTTTTCGGTACGAAAGTACATTGCTTCGGAAGTAATTTAACCTGAAAACGAATAAAATAAGAAACAAAATTGTCTAACACGAAATTTAAAATTTATTTCGAATTTGTACGTTTCGTTTTACGTTATCAATTAAAAAAAAAAAAAAAAAAAAAAAAGAAAAATTCATGATAATAAATAGATAATAATAATTATTGTTTATAAATTTACCTGAAGTGCATCTAGCGCACCTATCGGTGTGTTTGGTTGATGAGGTAAAATTAATCCACGTTCACCTATAGCTTGCAAAGTGTAATTCGAAGCTGCCAATTTGTGGGCTGTTGCTATTTGCACGAGAAGATCCATCATTGGTGTACTAGAAAAAAAAATAAAAAGACTATTTTGCAAAAGCACATTTTTTATTCTTTTTTTTTTTATTTTTTTTTATTTTGTTAATGATGTCTAAACATCTCTGATACGTTCATCGATTTATCGACCAACTTTTCATTTCTCCTATCTTCGATTCCAATAGGCGTTTTAATAATACACGTTTCATTTTCAATCGATTCAAATTATTCATTCGATATTGCGCAGTTCAAATGAATAATTTAAATTTAATACGTTCAGAAGTCGTACAACGTGTTGTTGTTGTTAATAAGTGTTACTAATCGAATACATTTTTCATTTACATATATATTATTTAAATGTCATTATTGGTTCGAGAAAAAGAAAAATAAATCATTTGCTTTGAAGAAAAAAGACAAACATAACCTAGATATTTTATTTGTTAATATTTCAATATTTTTCAATGATTAATATATTTTATATTATTCAAATGTCATATTTTTATTTGTGAACAAATAAATCATTGCTAAGAAGGAAAAATATAAGAAAACATAACCTAGATATTATTTTTTAATAATTAATATTTCAATATTGTTTCAATGATTATTATATTTTATAATCATTATTGTTTATAACATTAATATGTTTTCTCTGGTATTAAATAATATCCAAACTAGTTATATGATTATTATTATTATTTTACAGATTAAAACTGATAACAAGTCTACTACACAAGTCATATTTTTATTTGTTCGTGAAAAGAAGCATAACCTAGATATTATATTCAATATTTAAATATTTTTTGACCATTAATATATTTAATATTATTCAAAGGTCATATTTTTATTTGTTCGTGAAAAAAAAACATAACCTAGATATTATATTTAATATTTAAATATTTTTCAAAAATTATTTTATTTTATATAATATGTTAATAACTATTTAATACGTTTTCTCTCTTATATTAAATAATATTCAAACAAGTTATGATTATTATTATTATTTTAGCGATCAAAACCGATTACAAGTCTACTACTCAAGTCAAATTTTTATTTGTTTGTGAAAAGAAACATAACCTAGATATTATATTTAATATTTAATTATTTTATTTTATATAATATGTTAATAACTATTTAATACGTCTTCTTTTTTATATTAATTAATATTCAAACAAGGTATCATTATTATTATTATTTTACAGATTAAAACCGATTACAAGTCTACTACTCAAGTCAAATTTTTATTTGTTCGTGAAAAGAAACATAACCTAGATATTATATTTAATATTTCAATATTTTTCAACGATTAATATATATTTAATATTATTCAAATGTCATATTTTTATTTATTCACACCAAAACAAAAAAAAAACATAACCTACAAATTAGATTTAAATATTTCAATATATTTCACCAATTATTATATTTTATATAATTTTCTCCTTCACAACTTAACACGTTTTCTCTTTTATGTTAAATAATATTCAAACAACTTATGATTATTATTATTATTATTATTATTATTATTCTGATCAAAATCTATTACAAGTCGACTAACCAATTAAATTTTGATTACATATCGTTGCGAAAAATGGAGACATTAAATGTCAATTATTTAATGAACTGTAATAAAGATAGTGCCTGACGATTATTATTATTATTATTATTATGTTTTTTAATCTAATCTACGTGCACACGTGTGTATGGTGTATCTGTGCAAGAAGAATATTTTTTTTTTTTTTGATGAAATGATTATCACGTATCACGCATTTAAAAGTATTAGCCTAATTTTAGTTTCCGAGTTAGGAAGAGGGAAGGTTGGGACTTACGTCATAGAATAACACGCACGAGAGTCCCTCGACGATAACGATTCGCATAAATCGAAACTAACAAGTAGAACACTACTACTATTACCGAGCAGGTTACCTTTTTTTTTATTAGCATATTAATTAGGATCGATCGAAGGAATTTCTAACGCTCTTTATATATGGTCATGGATGTTAGGAATAGAATAGAATAAAATGGAATAACAAAAAAAGTTTCATTTAATTTGATGACGTTACAAATGAATTTTTTTTGTAATTAATCATGGTTTTTTAATGCTAGGTTTTGATTATGTGTTAAAAAAATATATAATGTATGTTTTGGTCAATAAATAAAAGAGTTGGAAGATTAATGATGGTATAAATCAAAGAATATTATTATATTAGGATCTCTAGCACTTGAATACGCTATCTGGTGGCTAAATTCAAAATTACAGTAGATAGGTCGCATTGCTATGCCACGTGGGATCTCTAGCAATACGCTATCTGGTAGCTACATTCAAAATTAGAGTAGATAGGTCGAATTGCTACGCCACGCTCCTGCCAGAAATCCCAATATTTAGTGTTTTGAAGAACTGTGTATTTTTGAGGTTATGTAATACTTGTATTTTATAATTGCTTAAGAAGTTCTAATAAAAGGACGAATATTAATGATCGAGTTATAAATAAAACAAAAATTATTATTATATATTTAGCATTTCAAAAACTACGTATTTTTAAGGTTATGTTATTTTTGTATTTTATAGTTGCTAGAAGAAGTTCTAATTAAAGGACGAAACGTTGATAATTGAGGTATAAATCAAAGAATATTATTATATATATTTAACGTTTAGAAAAACTGTGTATTTTTGAGGTTATGTAATACTTGCATTTATAGTTGCTGAAGAAGTCTTAATAAAAGGATGAGCATTGATAATAGAAATATAAATAAAACAAAATTATTATTATATATATTTAACGTTTCGAAAAACTATCTATTTTTGAGGTTATGTAATACTTGTAATTTATAGTTGCTGAAGAAGTTCTAATTAAAGTACGAAAGGTTGATTAATAGGATCAAAACAAATATGTTCTGATCGTTGTTTTTTTTTTTAACACGTTGACGCCGGCGCCGATTTTCAGTGTCTACGCTGTGGGACGGCATTCGAATCTAATATGCGCTTCATCTGGCGGCGCGTGATTTTTGCTTGTTCAAATGTGGACCAAGGTGGACCACCGGTGGTACGCGCCGCCCGATGGGACAGTCAAGCGTGGGCCACCGGTGGTACGCGCCGGCGTGAACGTGTTTAATAATAATTATTGTTAAAAAGCTTTACCTTCTCTGTACGGTAACCCTTTGAGTATGAAGATGATGCTCGCGTGGAAGTTGGACCAAAAGTTCCATACTTCCAGCTAGCATATCAGCTGGTGTGTCCTCGGTTACTGTAAGAACCATTCCTGATGGTCTCTCCTCTCTGTTGCTTCTGAAAATGAAATAATACAAATTTGTTTATTTAATTTTTTCTTTCTATATTCTTTGGTTTCTTATATCATGGGAACCGGAAAGTATTGTCGTTTATACAAAAATGTCAATTTTTATATATTTAAATGAATAACTGATTAATTTGTTATGGTTCTGATTATTTTTTCTAAAAGAAATAGAAATAAAATTAGATTAGATTAATAATCAGATTAATTCTGAAAATGATTTTAAAGTTTCCATTATTTAAAACAAAAACAACATAAAATTGCAATGAATTATTCTCTTTTCCCTATTTAAAAACCTCATAAGTTTTATTTCAAAATTTGTAGAAACTTTCGTTTTTTTATTTTATTTATTTCGAACAAATTGTATTCAATTAGTATAAATGAAAATCATTTGATTGATTTTGATCATTTGATTATTTTCAATAATATTACTTCTTCTTCATCTTCTTCTTTTGTTTTGTTTAAATGAAATGAAATGACTATCGCGAAATGTACGATCGAATTGTAAATCAATATCGATTTCGTAGTTGGTAGTAGTAGTAGTTTGGTTCACCGAGCACGTTGTTGGTCGTGTTGGCATAATTGGTAAAATGATCACGTGCCCGAACGTGAATGCGCGTATTCGTCTCTTGGCATGGCGACGATCGAAGAATCGAAGAATCAAACGATAATCCGTAGAAACGATCAGGAATCTCCCTCGTCGAATAGTGAGGAAAATAAAAAATGTGAATAAAAAAAGGAAAAAAAGAAAATAAAACAAAAAAAATATGGCACCTCGACGACTAAGAGACGACTGACGACTTAGCGTTCTTCGTCGCGCATTCAAATCACTTCGTCGATAAATTTCCTACGAACGTTTGCAACTTCCTCTTCAAAAAATAAAAACAATAATAATTAAAAGAAGAAAAAGAAGAAGAAGGAGAAGAAAAAGAAGAAGAAAAAGAGAATCAATGATTTATTCTCGTATTAGATAAAAATACAAAACAGAGGAAAAGATATTTCATAAAATAATAATCTTTTAATTATTTAATTATTTTTTGATTATATTCATTTCGAAAGCAAATATGAAATTAATTTATTTCCTTTCTTTTTTTTTTTTTTATTGATAAATAAATTTTTAGTCAATTCTCAGTGGAGAATTTTTCAATACTTTTTACAAATAAATTATAACTTGATATAAGTTGTTACAAATAATAGGATCCAAAATATAAGGATTTTTATTATTATTATTATTATTATTTATTAGTATTATATTATTATTATTATTTTATTATTTAACAAAATATATTATTATTTACTATATTATTATTATTATTTAGGAAAATTTTTAATCCTATATTATATTATTATTATTATTATATTATTATTTAACAAATTATATTATTATTTTCCATATTATTATTATTTAAGAAAATTTATAATCCTATATTTTTATATTATTATTATTATTATTATTTAACAAAATATTTATAGAAATAAATAGAAATATAAATTGCAATAGTAGAACTATAAAAAAAAGTAATTAATATTAGTTTTACTTTCGCAATACTTTATTTTACTAATAAACTATTTTATTAATATTTAGTTAAGTTTATTTTACTAATAAACTATTTTACTAATATTTAGTTGAGTTTATTTTACAAATAAACTATTGCAATAATAGAACTTTTTTAAATTTACGTACTAAATTAGAATGTTCAAATAAATATAAAATTACAACAGTGAATAATATTAAAAATGTTGATTAAGGATAATAATATCACAATGAAAGTAAAGAACGATTGGTGGAATGCATTTTAAACAATAAACAAACATATTCCAGATATTTAGAATTCTAGACTAGTTCTTGCACAATTCTCTCTTTCCTTTCGTATTATCAAAAAAGAAAACTCGACAAAACTTTCCTGAGAATCTTTCAAGAGGAATACTTGGCGTCCTCCTCCTCCTCCTCCTCCTTCTCCTCCTCCTCCTACTGTTCTTCCTATTCTTTCTAATCTTCTTCTTGTTTAAAGAAATCTAAGCACGATCTAATTTCTATAATTGAACGAGTTTGAGAAAGTTCAAAACGAGATACGTGGATAATCAATTCTGGCAAATATCCAATAACATTTGAACAAGTGAAATTTCAAATGCCAATTAAATTTTTTATTTAAATAAAAAAAAACAAAAATATTCCCTAACACACAAAGTTTTTAAAAATATTTTATTTTATGGACGTGAAAAATAACTTAATTTAAATTTACATTTAACCCTAGAATTACAAACTTATTTTTTTAACCCCCAAACTACAAACTGGGGTATATATTTACCCCAAAGGGTTGTTTTAGTCCTAAAAACTGTTCTGATAACAATAATCAGACTTTTAAGTATATGAATTTTTGTGTTTTTTTTTCATGCCAAAGAGAAGAGTGAAGAGCAAATTCAATTTTACTAAAGTTTAATCGGTGAAAGATCGATATTGTCACTTACTAACTCAGAAACTCAATTGAAAGTTTATCTGGGGTAGATATTTACCTCAGTTAGTAGTTCTAGGGTTAATTTTATTTCTTTTCTTTTTTTTAATCGTTGTTGTCGTTGTCCATATTAACCCATAATCCACTAAAGGACCTTTTTTTGGGACTCATTTTGAAATTTTGTTTAAATTATTACATATTATTTTATCTTAAATTAATTATTAATGATATAAAATAATTTTTATATATTTAAATAAAACAAAACAAAGAAACAATTGTTGCAAAAATAGTTCTATTTGGTTAGGTTATGTTATAAATATCATTATTGGGATTTCTGGCAGGGGCGTGGCGTAATAATTCGACCTATCTACTCTAATTTTGAATGTAGCTACCAGATAGCGTATTGCTAGAGATCCCACGTGGCGTAGCAATTCGACCTATCTACTTTAATTTTGAATTTAATCACCAGATAGCGTATTCAAGTGCTGGAGATCTCACTTAGCGTAGTAATTCGACCTATCTATTCTAATTTTGAATTTAGCCACCAGATAGCGTATTCAAGTGCTACAGATCCCAATACATTTAATTTAATTTCTATTTTATTTTCGTTGTTATCGTTGTCAACGTGGCAATAAATTTCCATTTAAAAAAAGAAATTCCTCACCATACAAAGTTGTAAAATACATATTTTATTTTGTGGAAGCAAAAAACAACTGAGGTTGATTTTACATTTAATTTTGTTTCTTTTTTCGTATTTGTTATAAATATTAGAAATATTTAAAATAAAAATGATACTTGTTAGAATCTTTGATAGTTTATCAATGACGAAAAGAGGACGCTCTTACCGATGGATAATCTCGACCGGTTTTCATTCGAGAGAGGACACGAAACATAGTCCTAAGAAAACGCGTGTACGTCCACGTGATATAAGTTACAAACACCAAGGAGAAAGCATGTCCAAGCTTGACGGGAGTTGTGAAGTCTTTTTAAACTTCTCCTAGAGTTTAAACTACGGGAAACTGATCGAAAGTACGCACGTTTTCTACCACGAGGTATCCCCATACGCGTTACATCTACACACACATCTATATATTTACTTGTACATGTATTTAAAAGTTGCTGCTGCTATTAACTGTTACTTGTATTGCTGCTGCTGCTGCTGCTGCTGCTGTTCATCCGCAAAACATTTCATCGACATGTTGCATCACTTAGACCAACAACTATCCTACAATTTTATTCTAATGTCTATTCATTAATTTGTTTCAATTTTTTGTTCTTTTTGTATTATCTTCCATTCTTATAATCGTAATATATCGTCTATAATTATGAACTACAAAATAATATTGATTAACAAGAATGAATTAAAGAAAATAAACAAACAAATATGTATGCTTTTAGAAAAATAATTATTTTCAAGATTTAGATCATTTTTCTAATTTGTAGATAATTTTATTCAAAATACTTGTTAAATGATATAACAAAAAACAAAATGATACACAATATAATACAAATATGAGAACAAAAATAAAATATTCTTATGAACAAGGGTTTTTTCTGATAGGACAGAATTTGTTGGTAGAGTCCTAATATTTAGAAAGATTCATTAAAAGTTTGTAGATAATCGATATTCTTGTTAGATGATAATGTGAAACGAGGATCAAGCTGTATATCGAATTATAGGAAATAATCTGATCTTGAAAGTATCGTCGTATCTCTATCGTATATCGAAGTATCGGAATATCTTGTTACAGAGTTCAATCTTGAATCGTAAGAGAAGTTAGTTGGGTTTTTAATTTCCAATTTTTTTTTCCCCTGTCTAACAACAAATTCAAGATAAAAATATGAGAAGAAGAAGAAGAAGAAGAAGAAGAAGAAGATTATCGAATACTTGGAAATAATTGATGGGAATTTGTCGAAACTAGGTTGTTTCCGTGTTTTTATCCGATCGTGTAAAATAGACACTACGTTTAAATGTCCCGCTAAGAAAAGTGGATCGTTCTTCAGTTATTATACAGTCATTTCTTTTCCCCCCCCCCGTTGTTTTTATCTTACGTTTGTTTTACTTGTGAGATAAAACTCACTCATCACGTTGTATTATTTGTATTGTTACTTTATTATTATGTTATACTAGTTTGTGTCCCGTCACACGTTACTGTGGCTCATGTGAGTCAAAATAAAGGTTAGGTTATGTTCAAATGTTTCGCACATTCACCGAAATCTATGACCAACAGATGGCACTGGACTTATTTGCATCTTTTTTTTATTTTTGAAGTGAAAACTTCTTTAGAATGGGACTGATTTGAAAAAAGCGATCGAAAATCCATGGTAACGGTGTAACGAAACGATGAAACGGTTACGTTACTAAAAAGAGAAAACGAGACAAGCATATACACATCTGTAGAATTTAGTCTAAGAGAGAATGAGATAGAAGACAGTATGCATTTGTTTCTTATTATCTCGGTCTCCTCTTTATGCGATCCTTCGTAGTCCCCACTCCTGGCCACTAAGTGTTGTATACGTGTGTGTATGTGTGCGACTGCATA